TCCTTGGCCTCAGCTCACCCACTCCTTGGCCTCAGCTCACCAGTGCCTTGGCCTTAGCTCATTGTTTGTTTTTGCAGATTTAGTTATACAGTTACAGACCGTTCATGGTTTAAATTTGGCGCTATAATATCGTTACCGTGGGCTCGGTTGGGGGAACTGGGCGTGTTTCCGCAATATTTTGTTTCGTGTTTCGGGAACTGGTGTGTGCTATTGCCTGATCGTTTTGGGCCCGACAGTCCTAGTTACACATTGGGGTCGATATATTTTCGTCATTGTACGCGCCCCACTTCTGGTTCACTCTCCCTGTTTCAACTCGTCGCCTAAACGTCGCCCATCTCCTGCAGGCAAGGTCCGTGACTTTCGCGCTTCCCCAACCCCATTTTTCGTTTCACAACACCCCTGCGAATTTCGCCTCTCAGACCAAGAATCAAAGACTTTGAGTCTTGATCGTTCTTGGGTTACGCGCTTTAAAATTTCTAATACAGCAATCTGCATGCAAGAAATTGGACGACATAAAATCGCACGCACTCGCATGCTTGGGTAGCTTGGTTCGATCGTCGTCAGCCGTGCCCTGACGAATTGCCAATGCTGGGGCAAGCTGAAAGATGGTGTGTTCGCTAGAGCAGCTCATCGACAGACCGTACTCTCCCGTTTGAAACTCGATTGAACCACGAAAACACTCTCAACCGTACTAAACGAGGTGACAGATCTGGAAATGCCAGAGGAAATCGCAAAACACTAGATCGCATGCACATCGGCGGGAACTTCCGCTGCTTGGGGCAGCGTGTGAGTGGAGTGGACTGAGCAGAGCAGGGGTGTCAGGAAAACTCCGCTTTGACAGGTACAGTAAGGGCTGGTAGCCTGCGGCTTCGTGGGCCCAATTCCGGAACTGGGTTCCTTCACCGTTATTCGATTGTTCCGTTTTCGCATGGATTCCCGAGTTTCGAAACTCAGGCCGCGTTCTGAACTTTGGCCGAACTTTGAAGTTTTGCCAACCGACTCGCCACGTCGGAATTGCACATTGCAATGTTTGGCCGTGCGCTTCGAACTTTGGCCAACCAGCCCCTTCCACACCTTGCCGGCCAAAATTCGTGCGACTGGGGTCCACGAACAGCTGCGACCGAGAGCGAAACCTGGTTTCTGCATACTTGGCCGGCCACGCCAAAGAAATGTGACGTCGACCAAGCCACAAAAGCAGCACCAACCTGCCCGGCGCACGAACAGCCGTCAAACTGCGAATGCTCCACCCTTCTTCACCAAAGTCTTCATCAACACCCCAACCAGAACGAGATGGTCTTCAAGCCCGCGTGTTGACTTCCTCGAGTTTCATATTTTTGGCTGGGAGATCCCTAGAAGTGCTGCTTGACAGCCAATCCCGTCTTTCCACCCAACCAAACTACCTTACCTTGAACTGCTTGGCACAACGGTTTTAACTTTTTTATTATGGTGGAAATTTGGTGAGATTTTTTCAAGACAACTTTCCCAAAATTATCGGAAGCTGGTTGTCAGGTGTCGCAGTTTTCTGCGACCCAAATTGTTTTCTGTCGCATATCGTTATGCAGATCGCCTGCCGATTTGATTTGGCGCGATGGGGTTCCGTTCACAAAATGTCGAGGGCCGGTCGCCAAGTTTTTCGCACCGGGGTTGGCCAAAGTTCACCTACCACAACTTTTGCCAACCAAAACCTCAACCACTACCGCAACGGAGTCAACGCTGTGTGCCTCACGCGAGCCGTCAAGAATGGAGAAGATTTATACGCCATCCATCTAACCGAATCAAAGGAGCAGAACGAGGCGACCGACATCAACAAACTCTGCGCTTCGGTCCCGGATGACTAGGCAAAAATCATTCGGGAATATCCCGAGATTTTCCCGGACGACTTGCCAAGTGGACTGCCATCCGAACGACCCCAAGACCACAAAATCGAGCTGGAGCCCGGTGCGCAGCCTACTGTACGAACTCAATGGCGCCTGACTCAGCCCGAGCTACACGAATTACGGAACCAGCTTGACTACCTGCTGGCAAAAGGGTTAATTCGGCCGAGCACGTCCCCGTTCGCAGCGCCGATCCTGTTCACCCCAAATAAGGATGGCAGACTTCGCATGTGTATGGACTATCGTGCCCTTAATCAGGTAACGATTAAATCACTCTACCCAATCCCATACACGGACGAGCTGATTTACAACCTTCACAAAGCTCGCTACTTTTCAAAGATCGACCCTCGTGGCGGTTACCATCAAATCCGGGTGTTCGCTGACGACTGCCACAAGACCGCGTTTCGTACTCGCTACGGGAGTTATGAATACACGGTGATGCCATTTGGATTAACAAATGCCCCCTCGACGTTCCAGCTCACCATGAACGGGGTGTTTTGCGATCTACTCGACAAATGTGTGATAATTTACATGGATGACATCCTGATTTACAGCAAGACCCACAAAATTTAAAGGCTTTGGAAGCGGTTTTTCAGCAGCTGCAGCAGCATCGTCTCATCACCAAGGGCTCCAAGTGTGATTTTCTAAAACAAGAACTAGAGTTCCTGGGGCACGTGATATCCACGGAGGGGATTCAAATAGACCCAACAAAACTCCAGGCTATTCAGGAGTGGAAACCGCCAACAAATCTGCAGCAGCTACATTCATTTATGGGTTTTGTGAATTACGTGAAGCGGTTTATACCCAACATGGCGGGGTTAACTGGACCTCTAACCGACCTACTACAGAAGGGGACTTCTTACGAGTGGGGGGAGAAGTAGCAAGCTGTGTTCGAGGCATTAAAAACTCTTTTAATGTCGCCATCGGTACTTCGCATCGCTGACCCGGAACGGCCCTTCGAAGTCATCACCGACGCAAGTGACAACGCTATCGAAGCAGTGCTCATGCAAGATTTCGGCAATGGTCTTCAACCAATCGTGTACGAGTCTAAAAAAATGCAATATGTTGAGTGCAACTACCGGTACACGACAATGAGATGCTAGCGATTGTCCACGCGTTCAAAATCTGGAGGTGCTACCTGACTCGAGCAGACGTGACAATGCGAGGCAACCATAAATCCCTACAGTACTTGAGGGCGCAACCGAATCTCAACCTGCGGCAGATACGCTGGTTGGACTATCTGGAGTCCAACTTCACGTACAAGATCACGTACAAAAAAGGTGCCAACAATATTGCTGACGGCCTCTCCAGACCATCTGCCCAATTGGCAACAATACTAGTCGCCCAGAGCAACCCGCTACTGAGTGGACTATTTTCCCACGGGTATTCGACTAACCCCTTCTTTGTAAATGACGGCCATCTCCAAATCACTACAAGAAATAGGCGTCTATTACGTACGAAGCAGGACATATCGAATTTGGGTCCCAAGTTATCGTCTACTTCGCGAATTACTAATTCAAGAAGTCCACAATTCGAATTTATCATGACATTTCGGGGTTGATAAAACCTTGAAGGCATTGCAACGGTTTTATTACTAGCCAGATATGGTGACGGATGTGCAGCGTTACGTGGCCGCGTGTCCGATCTGCCAGCGAATGAAATCATCACATCAGCGACCGACAGGACTGTTGCAGCCCCTTGAGCCACCTCAATGCCCATGGAAATACGTGACGATGGATTTCGTCACAGGTCTGCCAACCGGATCCAGCGAAAACGACGCAGTATTGGTTGTCGTCGACCGATTGACAAAGATGGCGGGCGTTTCGCACCGTGTCATACAACCATCACAGCCGAAGAAACCGCGCAACTATTCATCTCGACCGTTGTTCGCCTACATGGGATACCATACCAGCAGCAATCATTAGCGATCGAGACCCGAAGTTCACGCCGAAATTTTGGCAGGACACGTGGGCTCGGTTCGGCACGCGCCAGCAATTCTCATCCACTTATCATCCCCAAACGGACGGCCAGACAAAGTGGACAAACCAAACGATGGAACAGCTGATTTGGACAAACTGCCCCGACCGAAACAAATGAGAGGACGCGCTTCCCATGTTGGAATTTTCCTACAACAACGTGCCCTCAGCTACGACTAATCACTCCCCGTTTTACCTCAATTACGGGATTGATCCCACTGTACATATCTCCACCAACGTTGAGAGTCAAGTACCACGGTCGTAGCAGTTCGTCGAAGAATTACAAACTGCCAGAGACAAAGCTGTCAAACTTATCCGCAAGGCGAACGCTACTGCTCGACGGTATGCGGATTTACATCGACGGGATATTACAATGGCAGCAGGGCAACTAGTCCTTTTGGACACCAAGAACTTACAGCTACCACTACCGACAGAATTACGACCACGTTTCTATGGCCCATTCAAGGTCATAAAGATGGTGACGCTGGTGACCGCCCAGTTGTGCCTACCTGTTGATTGGCATATTCACAACAAGTTCCACGTGAGCCTATTGCGACCTTACGTACCTGATGTTGTGTGATGTCATCATATGCTATCACATTCTGTCTGCCTCCCATCCCTTGTTTCAATTCGCATGTATGGTTTGACTGTGTGTGAAAGAATTTGTGTGGTGTGTGTTCTGGAGTTTGGGAATGTGTTTTGTGTTATTCTGTGTGAGCAGGTATTTGTGATAATAGATCTTGAGAAGATCTTTCCGACGCAACAAGAATCGCTTCAATCGGAGCAAGAACGCGAAAGCTATGAAGATTCAAAGTTCATGAGCTTGCGTTACAATTGCGGCGGTTACAATGTGAAGTTGTGGGGTGACTCTATATGGAGTTGGGACGTTTGGGGCTGGGTAAATTCGTCACTCTACTGTAGCAGCTGCAAATTGGTTGGGAACAACCAAGCTAGGTTGGCAAGGGTGGCCAACTTGGATGGATTGGTTGGGAAGGGACAAATGTCAAAGTTGGGGTTTCTATAGGGGGGGGAATCTTTGTGCTTATGGGGTTTCCTTGGTTGGGGACTCTCTTGGGACCTTCCCTCTCATCTCTCTCTTCCCTTCCAACCTTTCTCTTGCTCCTCTAATTTCTTGTGAGATTCTTGAACCTTGATTGAACTTTTGAGATTGAGTTAAGTTCTCCTCCTACAGCTTACCCCTCAGTGCGTCGAAATCCATAGCGTCGCCAAGACTCCATCAATCAACATGATTCAAATTGGGAACTGTAGCTGAGATTGAGAGCTACAACATATCCGAGTTTCGCGACATTCCAACGGCTAGTTTTTTGTCGAAGACGTTTCTTGTGAAGACGAATTTTTTGTCCAGAATTTCGGATTTATATTTTGAGTATTTCTAGCTCCTAAGCACACCTAGACTCTGTCCTTAATCCCAACACCTGACACATCGGACATCGCTCGACAACGATTGGTCACGGTTGTACCGCCAATAGCAGAGACGACCATCGAGCCTTCGAAGAATTTGAGCCACAGGATTCGTATCGACGGCCAAGGACGACACGTTGTCTTTCTGATACGATGGACCAATCGTACCAGTGAGGACGACACGTGGGTGCCCTCGAACCAGATACAGTCACCTTCGTTACTTGCGAATTATTTGGCCTGCAAGCATGTGGCTGATATAGATCACCTTCGCTAAAGGGGGGGGTGGTGTAAGGAATTTTCCATTCCTTACCAAGCAGTACTGCTATCGCGTACGCTCGAACACACCAGAAGCCTCGGGACAGTTCAATACCTTTTTAAAATAACCGCCTCAGCTTTTTCAGACCTTCTAGTTCGACCTTCGGGAGTTCTCTGGGCCTCGCTTCGTCATTTCGAGACCCTTCGATCGCTTTCCCGAACCTGCACATCGCATGGTTAGACTAGCTCTGGTGTTCCTATATCTTGGCTGGCCATTCCTTGTATCGTCATTCCGTAATTCAACACTTCGTTATTCATTTCCGCACTACTCTGCTTGTCCATTCATAACAAAAACAATGACTTCGCATCCAATGACAAACAATAATAATTTGGCCAGTGCCAATTTCTTGCCTCGCGACTCGTCAAATTGGTGCATGGAGTACCGGCATCGTCGTGATGTTTCGCTCTTTTCGCGGCAGTAGCATAGGCCTTTCGCTCAGAACTGCAAGAGAGTTTCAAACAGGGCTCGGACGACCGTTTGAAACCAGCGTCCAGACAGGTGTGGAACCTCGAGTTCCGGAACTTGTGAATCCTTCGCGAGGTCATTAGCGAAGAATTAAGCGAGTGATGTCGAAAAATGTTTCCCCTTTCGCTCACGGACGGAACTCAGTTCCGAAACCGTAGGATACACACCCTAAGTTTGTCGCTCATTGGTGCGCAAGTAGCCAAGACCCATGGTGAATGCACACCACTGCCACCTCACAGGGTCCGATAGTGGCACATCCCACCAGTACAATATTGTACTGTATGTTGATGAGAACGCAAATTTTGCTAGCCTAACTTCGCCTCAACTTATGTATTCTCAATAGAGTATTCTCTCCAACTTGTCAATCTCAATCTCTAGTGGGAACTCTTTCCATACAGGAAGGACCTTTGTTCCGGCTGCATTTGCGCTGCAATCAGTTAGCAATTGGTACCCTTGAAGGGTACTCAACGAATTCCCACCACCCCGTATCAAATCACCTTTCTCAAGATGCTGCACCTTGAGGCCCTCGTAATCGAGCAGCTTGTGTGAAACTGCCAAACGCTCGCTAAGGGTTTCCAACCTGGCAGGGTTGGGGTGGGAACTCCTCGGAACTTGGCAATCCCAACCGACCAAATTATTTGAGGGGAGAAACGGGACGAGTTGTGTGGGGGGTAGAAACCTTAGATTGTACTCGCAGTTTGAGCGGGAATCGCGAAAGAAATATGTGTTAGCGTACATATACTTTATACATGTACTATATATCAGCTAGGTGCAGATTGTAGAGGGGACAACCCCATTATGTGAACCCTGTACTCTCCTTTCTCTAAGGTCTTCCTCAATCTTCTCTCGCTATTCTAACATGGTATCAGAGCGATCCAGAATTCAATTCATAGTGTATACGATATCCAGTGGGGGGGTGTGTCGTGGCACAGGGATAGCCTTGTCGAACCTCCTCTCTCTCTAGGGAGGGTGCTAGGGAGGCTTTCCCTGGGGAAGGTGAATATATGGAGCCTAACTCTCCTCAGGACATCCCTTCTTGTCCCAGTGGTTATGATTGGCGACTTTATGATATGGTATCAGAGCTAGGTCTGATCCCACCGACTCACGCTTCCGCCCCTAGCCTACAGTATTAGCCCGGATATAAGACACATGGGTCTTATCACATACCGTTGAGAAATAATCCAAATGGTCCTAGATCCAGGGGCAAAAAACCGGGTTAACACAAGATAAGCGCCTAATAGAAGACCCAGGGTCTTCTATTACTAGGGGGTCTTATATCCAAGCTTTTACGGTACCTTAGTCTTAGAGCATCCCGCCCTTAGAGCGCCCTGTCCTTAGCACGCTGCACCAGCCCCCTGCTTGCCACGATGGCTCCTGCTCGCCGTGACGGCTCCTGCTCGCCGCGCCGCCCCCAGCTCCCCGCCGGCCCCTGCTCCCTGCAGCCGCCCCAGCTCGCCGTGTTGGCCTCTGCTCGTCGTGCCGGCTCCTGCTCGCCGCGATGGCCCCAGCTCGCCGTGCCGGCCCCAGCTCGTCGCCGGCCCCTGCTCGCCGCGCCGCCCTCTGCTCGCCGCTTTGGCCACAACTTGCCAGCCAGCAGCTGCCAGCCAGCTCGCCGCTGACTCGCCAGCCAGCAGCTGCCAGCTAGCTCGTCGCTTGCTCGCCACAGCCGCCGCTGCCGCCGCTGCCACTCCTGCCGCTGCCGCTCCTGCTGCTGCCGCTCCTCCTGCCGCCACTCCTGCCGCTGCCACTGCCGCCACTACAGCTGCTACAGCTCACTGCCACCAGCAGCCGTCGTGAGCTCGCCGCCTCCAGCAGCGTGCTAGTCACTGCCAGCTTGCCACCAGCAGCTTGCTCGCAGCTCGTTTCTGTCAGCTAGCCGCCAGCAGCCCGCCGCCAGCTGGCCGTCAGCTCACCGCCAGGAACTAGCCGCCAGCAACTCGCCGCCAGCAGCTCGCCGCCAACTGGCCGTTCGTTAGCTCCTATGATTGCCGCTTCTCATGTCGCCACTCGTCATGTCACCAGCTCGCTGCTCAATGCTTGCTGCTTGGCACCAGCTCGCCGCCAGTCGCCAGCACGCCACTAGCCGCTCGCTACCAACTCGCCGCCAGCCCACCATTCGCCGCTCGTCGCCAACTCGCCAAAAACTCCACCACTCCGCTTGCCATGTGCTAGCCGTCAGCCCGCCGCTCGCCTGCTACCGCCGCCTCCGCTGTCGCCGCCCCTAATATGACTACTACAGCCGCCGCCGCCACTACAGCAGCCGCCGCCGTTGCCGCCACTACAGCAGCCGCCTCCCTTCCACTTCGACCGCCGGTCAAGCCGTCGTTGCTCCTCTTCTGCCGCCCACTGCCACTGCAGCTACCGCTGCCACTGCCGCAGCTACTTCTGCCCGCTGCCACTGCCGCTGCCACTGCCACTGCCGCAGCTACTCCCGTCCGTGACCGCCCACTACCACCTGCTGCGCTGCCGAAGCCATTACAGCAGCCATTGTCGCCCACTGCCGCCGCTGCCCTTACCGCCTCCGCTACCCCCGCCCCTCTGCCGCTGCCTCTGCAGCTGCGCGCTGCTGCTACTGCAGCCGCTGCCACCGCTGCCCTTTCAGCCGCCGCCGCCGCTACTCCCACCACTGCTGCTGCTGCCTTTTGCAGCCGCTACTGCCGTCACTCCCTTTGCAACTGCCACTCCTGCAGCTGCTGCCACTGCTGCCCTTGCAGCTGGCGCTGCTGCCGCTGCCGCTACTCCCGCCGCTGCCGCCGCTGCCTCTGCAGCCACCCGCTGCCACTTCTTCTGCCACTGCCGCCGCTGCCCTTGCAGCCGCCGCTACTCCCGCCGCTCCGCCGCTGCCTCTGCAGCCGCCCGCTGCCCTTGCAGCCGCCGCTGCTGCCGCTGCCCTTGCAGCTGCTGCTGCTGCCGCTACCCTTTCAGCCGCCGCTGCCGCTACTCCCGCCGCTACTCCCACAGCTGCCGTTGCAGCCGCTACTGCCGCCACTGCCTTTGCACCTGCCGCTACTGCAGCCGCTGCCGCCGTTGCCCTTGCAACCGCCGCTGCTGCTACTGCCCGCTACTGCCGCTGCTTCCGCCACTGCCTCTGCTGCCGCCCGCTGCCGCTACTTCAGCCGCTGCCGCCGCTGCCCTTGCAGCCGCCACTACTGCAGCCGCTGCCGCCGTTGCCGCCGCTGCCGCTACTCCCACCACTGCCACTGCAGCTGCCACTACTGCCAATCCAGCCGCCGCCGCTGCTGCCACAACTTCAGCCGCTGCCACCGTTGCTACTCCCACCGCTACTGCCGCAGCTGCCATTGCAGCCATTACTGCCGCGCTGCCCTTGCAGCCGCCGCTGCCGCTACTCCTGCCGCTGCCTCTGCAGCCGCCCGCTGCTGCTACTGCCGCCGGTGCCGCTACTTCCGCCGCCGTCACCACAGCAGCCGTCGCCGCTGCCGCTGCTCCAGCCGTCGCTGCCACCACTCCCGCCGCCGCCGCTGCAGCCGCTGCCACCGCAGCTGCCGCCAACGCCGCAACAGCCGCGGCCATCCGCACCGTCTCTCGCCTCTCGTACTTGGCGCCCCTCTCTCCATCCCCCGTGCCCCACGCACCTATGCAGCCTCCCCCATTGCAGCAGCAAAGCAGCGGCGGAGGGGATGGAGGGGATGGAAAGGGGGTTCGTGGGCCCTGGGGCTGGTGGTTCTGGGAATGCTTCCCCTGGGGGTGGTGATTCTGTGGGTGTTGCCTCTGGGGATGGTGGTGCTCGGGGTGCTCGACCTTAGGGTACTCGGCCTTAGGGTGCTCAGCTCTAGGGTGCTCGGCCCTAGGATGCTCGGCCCTAGGGTGTTCGGCCCTAGGGTGTCAAACATATATTTATATGTTATTATAGGCTAGATAGGTGCATGCTCTTAGAGAGTATAACACACTAGCACAAAACCACCCTATGCTCTCATTTCTAGTTCATTCGTTTCTCTGAGATGGTATCACGCTAGGTTAGGTCCCCCCTCCCCGCTTACACTTCCGCTACTAGCCCTAGTCCTAGCCTTAGTCGCGCCGCGCCGTGCCACGCCGCGTCGCCCTAGCCGCGCCGTGCCCTATCCCTAGACGCACCCACGCCCGAGCCCTAGACCGCGCCGGCCGCGTCCCTTCGCGCTGGCCCCGCGGGTTTGCGCCGGCCCTGCTAGTCCGCGCCAGCCCCGTCTCTATGCGCCGGCCCCGCTCTAGCCGCCCTAGGTTGCCCTCGCCGCGGTAGCTCGCTGGCCCCGCGCTCGTCGGCCCTTCACACGCTGGCCCCGCGCTCACTGGCCCCATGCTCTTCACCTCGGCGCTCGCCAGCCCCGCGCTCACTGGCCCCACACTCGTCGCCCCCGCGCCCGCCAGCCCCGCGCTCGCCGACCCCACACTCGCCAGCCCCGCGCTCGTCGACCCTGCGCTCCCCGGCCCCATGCTCCAATGATGTAGCGAACGAATAGTTGTGCTGTCTCTTTGGTGCGTGCTATCGTGTGTGTCGGGATGAAGTGTCCCATTTTGGAGAATTTGTCGATGACGACAATTATTGCGACAAATCCAGGCTAACTACTTGCCATGGCTGTTCTGGGACAGGAAGAGGCTGTAGTAGTCTTGCCTTTTTCTGCTTGCTGCTCTTCATCCGTTGGCATGTAGCACACGAGGTGGCAAATTTATGGACGTCGCCTGCCATGTGGGGCCAGTAGTAGTGCTTTGCAAGACTGGTGAGCGTCTTGTTGCTACCGAAGTGTCCGGCGTATAGGATATCGTGGTATTCTTCGAGTAGTAACTGGC